GTGGAGACCCCAGCAGTCGCTCTGACCTGCACCGGCCAACTTTCTTTTGTTTTTTTGGAAGCATATTTGATGAATGAGATATTGGGGCAGGGGCATTACTGAGTGTTAGAGCTGGCGTACAAAAGACTTTATCGACTATTCAATACTTGGTAGTGTCTTTTACACCTGAACATTGTAATAAAATCGGCAGCCCTGCTCAGGACACATCTACACACGCTGGTAAAAGCATGCAGCCGTAGCCCAGTCAGCCCAGATTACGCTGAGATGTTGGTTTGAATGATCAGACGTCACTGCTTGCTTCCTTCGTCACTTTCTTTGAGCTGTCCACTTGCAACAGAATCACTCAGGATGCATGCTAATGCTGGGCCCGAACAGTGGCGTATTCAGGTGCAGCACACTCCGGGAGTTTGATACTAACATTCGACGCAGCGGCATCCCAGACGCAGACAGCGGACATAAGCCTCTGTGGACGACTCGCTGCGAATCTGATCACCTGTCAGGTAGCTGTTGAAGAGCAACAGGAGACATTTTATCTTTCACACACAGAGACGTTTAAACCAACAGTATGTGGAAACATTACTGAGCATCATTCGTGTGTGTGATGGAGTCAAACTGACGTGTTGTGCGAGGAGTTGACCCAGTAATGTGACAGAGGGTTGTTCATGTCCACGTTGCTGATGTCTGAGAACTTCTCATCCCAAATACAATTCTCCTTGGAAAACAGGAAGCCGAGGAACTGGAAGAGGAGAAACGCTTCAGATTTCAGAGTAATCTAACCCCCCAGCCCCGCCCCTCCAGACGCCACAACGCTGTAGAACTGCTACGGGATGGTTATGTATTCAAGCAAGTTTTTTAACACAACTGCATTCCTGCCAAAACTCAGTTTTAGCATCGATTATCAAACTTGGTGCAGAAGAAGGAAGATGGTGTTCACTCATGTTACCTCGCTGACGGTGAACTCCGGGTCATTGGTTTTTCTCATGGTGTCATCAATAAAGGTTGTCATCAGCTCTCTGACTTGGTTCAGATCATTGGCCCAAGTTTCCTGATGGATGAAAGGGCCAAAATAAATAAATAAATAAATAAAAAAATCACACATCAGACTGCGACGGCTCATTTCAAACACTTTTTTTCTAGTCCCAGAGCTGTGTGATGTCAGCGAAAGAGGAAATCCATGAACATGCTGCTCTCTGTGTATGAGGAAATCAGAAGAAAGCCTTCTTAGCAGACTTTAGAGAGAGGAGGGGAACTACATGGCTTGCTTTAGTGTAAATTAAGTAAC